CACATACTTCCCTGTAATGCACCTGTAAGGTTTAAGCACACATGGAAAACTAAATGGCTCTACAGACATAACAGATATTCAGAAAGATTCAGCCAGAGCAAGGCAGCACTGCAAGGCCACAGGAAACAGCAGCACATGTATTTCTAAAACCAACTCATTGAAAGAAAAATGGAGTGGATCCTACTTGTCAGCTTGTCCATGCATGTGATCATCCCAGTACAACCATAGCTTCTGATGATGCAGCTGAGTCACGGTTCTTCTCTGGAGTCACAAGGCCAGGAGGCTAAGCTAGTGTTCAACCCGCCGCCATGATGGAGGAAGCATCCGAACATAAAGAGACCCCAAGAGACCATTCCTGCACCCCAACTCCAAGGCTATGGGGGAGGCTTCCCTTATAAGACTGCATTTAGCTACCTAACAAAGGGAACTTCGCAACAGGAGAGGCTGAACCTGTGCGGCAGGCCAGAAGAAACCAGCAAGGTGAGGGCAAAAAACTCCAACATATCCTTAGTATAACCGGCTTGAGCAGCAAGGACAGAAAAAAGAATGGTGGCCTTGGGAGGCGGGCTTTAATTTATAGTATAACTGGTCCTGTGATTGGGCTGGGGGCAGAGCCATACCCATTGTATGCTGCCATGGATTGGTGTCAGGAAATATATATCTATACTGCAATGTTGTCAACTCCCTATTATGTACTGAAGTAGGGGACTGTTGGTCTAAGAAAATGCTTTTTGTTCATCAGCATTCTCACTAAGGGGTCTATTCACAAAGCTCCCGAGGGCAGCCGAGTGAATGACCGATCAGAAGTAAAGTGAGCCGAACACTGTTCGGCTATTCACTTCAGGCTGGCACGGCTGATTTCAGCCGTACATCGGCTGAAATCAGCCGTACATCGGCTTGCTTCATGTGGCTTCGGATCAGCTGAACATGCTCAGCATGTTCGGCTGACCCGAAGTGCAGAAGGAGTTCGACTTCAACATCTGGATCGGCTGAGCCGAACCTCCGGCAGGCTTCTCACTGCTGTTCGGGCTATTCTGAAAGATCCCGAACAGCAGTGAGAGAATAGCCGAATGCCGCCGAGCGGCATTTGGCTCGGCTGTTCTGCTCGGTCCCTCAGAGGCACCGAGCAGAACAGAAAAAGAGTGAAAAAAGTAAAAAAAAATAAATAGAAAACGATTGTGCAGAGCTAGCAGTGACAGCTAGCTCCGCCCAATAGTTTCCTATTGTCCGGCGGCTCTGCTGCTGTAAAAAAATAAAAATAAAAAAAATCCCCTGGGCGCTCTGGGAGCCCCCCGCTCCCGGCCGCCAAGAAGAGAAACCCCGCTGTGTCTTTTTTTTTCTTTATTCTGACACGAGCATGTCAGAAAACAGAAAAAAAAAAAAAGAATTCCCATTCAAAAGCATTGGGAGTTTACTATTGGCTATTTCAATTTGCAATAGCCAATAGTAAACTAGCATTGTACCCGCCCTCTGCTGATGGACCTGATGGGGAACTGCAAAAGAGGGCGGGTACAATGCTAGTTTACTATTGGCTATTGCAAATTGAAATAGCCAATAGTAAACTCCCAATGCTTTTGAATGGGAATTCGTCTTTTTTTTTTCTCTCTATTCTGACATGGTGACAGCTTCGGGTTTCAGCACGGCTCAGCCGAGCCGAGGCATATGCGATCGGCTGTGATCGGGAGCTGTACGGGCTATTGTGAATAGCCCGTACAGCACCCCCTCGGTTCTCCTGAACCGAAGGGGTCCTGGGGCCGAAGCTAGCCGAAGGATCGGCAGAAGCTACGGCCAGATCCTTCGGCAGCTTTGTGAATAGACCCCTAAGTGTTTCTATCCAATGCCTTGGATATTACCAACCAAGAGATGATGCACTATTACAATTTCTTTAAATGTTGGCCTTTTTAACATGTTAAGCTCTTTGGGTTGTCCTGTATGTGCTGCAGCAGCAGCCATGAGCTTGTTTCTACCTTTGTCAGCAGGCTCACGACTTTTAGGTCAAAATAATATGGGAAGCTGCAGAGCCGTTTGATCACTTTCACGGGAGTGGGAGTGTGTGTGTGTGTGTCCCCTCTCTTCCTCCAGTAGGGGGTATATCTGGGGGGACTGCTACCGCCACAATACCGTTATGGAATTACAGAGCTGGTATATTTGGATGATGCATTTCTTGAACTTTGGGAATATTGATCTAAGACACAAGGACGAGAGATATATGATACTCACTTCCTGACTATAAGGTAACACCAAAAAAGCAGGGACTTTTGAGATTTGATTTGCATCTCGCACTACCTGACCATTGAGAGACCTGGCCCACATATATCCCCTGCAGCCCCATCTGGGGATGTTTTCTTCACCTGGTGTGCGTGGTGCTGGGACATGGACTATTCTAATTCCATCCTGAATAAGTAGACTAGTGTCTACAAAATACAGCACAAATGCATGTACCACCATCCTACTGTGTAATATTCCATCACCTTGTACTAGAAGATCTATTATAAGATACATATGATGGGTAAAGACATCAGATTGACTTGAGATACATGAACAATTACAGTGTGAGCTAGGATGGATGTTGTATTAAACATGGATATGTACTGTATGTTGTACTCTGTCTAAACAGTACCAAAACTAACATACCTTGTGTTTTTATACTGTTTTTATACTGTTGTTATAAATAAAAATGACATTATTGTCTTTTAACAACAAGAAATGTTCTGGTATATGACTATTTCCCTGACACCTTCAAAATCACATGGCTTTTTCATGAACTTTGCACTTTAATTACTGGATTTGTGGTGCCAGTAAACCATTAATCTCTGACAAAACTCATAGAGATCTCAAAAATTATTTTTCTATTTAATAAAACAATAATTTTACTGATGTAATGTGTTGGATTTTTGTTTGAGTACCCTTAAAGTCCCTCTTTGCTAAATATTTTAGATTAATAGTACAGTAAAACATGTTTTGACTAATTATCCCTATATCTTAATTCTTTGTGTAATAGCTTTCACTGGAACAAGAGTAGGACAGATATTTATTAATTACATATCCCTTTACTTGCAACTGGACTTGCAAGTCCATTTGCCTTGACTTAATTTTTACAGATATACCATGACCTGGATGAATGAGAACCTTCATAGACATTTTATGGAGAATTCCACTCACTTTCTATCACAGCTCCTGAGACAGGATGTAAAGTGAAATCTCCACGACAGAGGCAAAGACATTAAAAAAAATACTAGATATGTCCTAGTAAATGATAACAGAAGTGAGGAAATTTGGTGACCTGGGTTAAAGGAGAACTATGGGGTCAGTGTTTTTCCCCATAGTTCTCCTTAGGGTAACGGGAGGACACAAACTAGCGTCCGCCCGTCACCCTAAGCTCAGTATACCGCGAGCTACAGCTCGCGGTATACTGAGACGCCGCACCTGGAGCAGATCCCGACGTAGATGACGGGATCCGCCCAGCTGCGTGAGTGACAGCTGGCTCTGCCTATCTAGAGGCAGAGCCAGCTGTACCCGCCCCCTCCCTGTCCGTTCCGCCAGTCAGTGCTGGCAGATCGGAGCGGGGAGAGGGGAATCCAGCCCCTCCCCCTGTCACGGCAGAGAGCCGTGACAGGATCGAGAGGTGAGGGAACCCGGTATGTGTTCCCTCACCTCCCGATCTACTGAACCGACCTGTGACAGTCTCATTGTCACAGGTCGGCTTAGAACTATGAGGTGAGTGGAAATCACTCATCTCATAGTTCTCCTTTAATCCAATCTGACGTTTTATAAAATGGTTGCAGAATGGATTTTTTGCTGCTACCGGAGACAAAACACTAGAGCACCTCAGATCAACATCAGACCACTACAGCCCAGTTTTATTTGTTTCTGAATTGGGTTCAGAATGTACTGTTTTTGCTCATCTGCAAAGTACCACTTCAACATCACATTTTTTATTTTAATGCACTGGTTATTATTGGTAGAAGTTTTCTTTTTAGACTCCCTTCATTTTAATTTGCCTTTTCCTCATCTCTTCTGCTGAAATGGCACTGCTATGTAAATAAGAATACAGCAGCATTCTAATAATATCCCATGTCACAGTACTCAACGTAATTAGAGCTGATAAAACCAAACAAACCTTCCTTATTGTCAAACTACTATTTTTGTTCTAAAAATAAAAAGGATAACTGCAAATTATAGCAAAAATATAAGCCAAGTCTATGTCTACTTGTCTTTTAAATGTATGGGTCCACCAGTAACAGAGGAGTTACATAAAGAGTATTTTAAAGGGAAGTAGGTTGTCTCCAGTTACCACTAGCTTAAAGGGGTGGATTTACATTGTGTGTCCCTAGGCCAACTGCCTTGTGCTGCACCTACCTTCCAAGGTAATTAGCTAGCCTTAGGCTCCTGTCACACTAGCCATCCTGTTGCTGGAAACAACTCGCCAGCTTTGGGATCTCTAGAAAGAGAGGAGAAAATACTAAAAACGACTTACCTGCTTCTACACCATTGCTCTCTTGCTGACTGGAATAGGGAGATTCTGTACAAATTCAACAAGCAAGGAGGCAAGGACTGGCTGTTTCTGCAAGTGGGGGAGTGATTCCATAACAATAGGTAAGTATTTTTATGCCTGTTGTGGCATGTTGTTGCCAGAGACAGGATTGTTAGTCTGATACGTACTTAGTAATACATAGGTGTGACATTATAGCCACACAAGACACCAAGGTTTGGGGTTAAGAGACTCAAGGAGACGGTTTACCCACTCTGCTTCTGTACAGCTAGAACCAATTACCAGAAGGTCAGGCTGTCACACTACTCTGCTAGCATTTCAGTTCAAGGTATATAGAGCCAGAGTGGGTGAACTATAAGTACACAGTACACTTTCTCATCAAGAAAAAAGGAAAACTGGGACAGCAACAATCACAGCTTGAATACACATACACATGGGAATTTGTTACTGACAGTCATCAACATGGTGTGTAGGTGTCTATGTCCCACCCTTGGCATCAAAGTCAACCTAGGCCACAGCTATGCAGAATTCCAGCCTTACTAGCCTAGTCAGTTCTTTACTTCATTTATTGGATTAGTTGCTTTAGGTAACACAGACCCATTTTCCCTTCCACCAACATTCATAATTCCTTCCTACTAATGGAAGAGTTAGGTCAACTTTCACTCTCTTTCTCTTAATATGTTACATTTTCAAAACTTACTGAATAGTTTGATTTTTTTCTGTCAGGGTTACCAGCATTAGTGGTTGCCGTGTCTGTGGGTTTCACACGAACAAAAGGATATGGAACTCCTCACTAGTAAGTCATTTTTTTATCTGAAGGAAAACAATAATGCATTTCCAGTTGGTCCATATTTTAAATTACTATAAAAACAGGTAAGTCGTTAACCGAGGAATGTCTGTATATTTATTTTTTCAGTTTTCTATATGGTGTGGTAAAGAACTAAATACAAGCCATTTTTGCATTATACACTAATTATCCCACTTCTTCTGTCTCCATTAAATAGCCTTTCTTAAGACGATACACTGAGTCAGTGAATACATTTCTACTTTGTCTAACTACTTATGTCATTTGACGTCTAGCTGCTGGCTTTCCCTGGAAGGAGGTTTACTCTACGCCTTTGTTGGCCCGGCAGCTGTCATTGTTCTGGTAAGCACTGTGGCTATCATCACCTTTGTCTTCTTTGGAACTCCACAGATATAAAATGTGATGCCAGCTTTCCTTCAATCTACCCTTTACATACTTTATGGCTGTAGTTTTAATTTGGACTTTCTATCACTATTCTCATTGATGTTATTATTATTGTCTGTCACTGCTGTGTGAACTTGGGTACCTATGCACAATACATCTGATTACCATGGTGAAATACGAGGTAAATCATTCAGTTGTGTGAAGTAGACAATGTATTCTCTTGTACATGTTTCAATGTTTGTAGGGCACACAGGTTCACTTGAGCTCTTTCCCTTATAGTAAACATTTGGCACAATATATGTAATTTTTTAAAGCATACAGAAACTTTAGAAAATCATATTACTAATAAAAATCTAAACATCAGCATAAAAAACTAAGATCCTAACCACAGATATCTGTTACTATTATTAAAACAGAATTATTGGTGGACAAAGTATGATCCAAATATAGTAAAAATATAGCCAAATCATGTCTATTATTTGTTTTCTTGCATAGCAGTATATATTTGAACATGACTTACAAAAACAGTGCTGGTATTTAATAGGAAGGATTTCACTAGGTTTGGAGGTACATTGGAGGTACACTGGAGGTTTTTGTCAACGGCACCTCATTTATTAAAGCTGAGAAACACTAAAAATTACTTTTCATCAGGTCTTAAGATCTTAGTTTATCATTAAAGTGCACTTCCACCTTAAAATTATATTTCTTTGTTGGATGGGTAGTACTCAAAATGGCCCTACTACTGTGCAGTGGCACGTCAGACCACTGGAGGCCCAAACTGATGCGCTCCATGTTGAGCAGCAGTCTGGATCTCCAGCTTGCTGCCAGCACAAGGCATTCCAACCATAGCAGCAGCACAATAGTAGATTAAAAAATCAAAAAGAAGTTCACATTTAATACTATTTATACAGCTTGACTGCATTACAGTAATAACCAAGGGAGGCTTCAATTGGACTTTAACAAAATGTAATTGTGTTCCTGGACTACATTAATATTTTTGACTCTTTAAATATCTTCTGATCTGTTCTATAGGTTAACATGCTCATTGGCATAATAGTATTCAACAAATTGATGTCTCGGGACGGAATATCTGACAAATCCAAAAAACAGCGGGCTGGGTGAGTGCATTCCTCTTCATAGGAGATTGGCTGTCAAGATACATTGGATTGTTTTTGCATCATTAAATTAGTGTTGCACCAGCGTGGATTTATGTCTGCAGTTTATGTGTGCTTCTGATGTTTGACCTGCAATTTGTACAATGTTGTATAGTATGTGGAGTTTCTTTTTTAACGTTGTTTATTTGCAATGTTAATATATTCCTCCCCTGAATGGCAGCATAAACTAAGATCATTTAACTTTGTAACCTGTAAAATAGTATAGTATAGGAAAGTCTCCAAGGGAATGTTGGAAGCAAAATAAAATAAGTCCCAAAAGAAAAAAAAAATAGGGGCGCTGCTTATTTCTACAATTCTAGAAGACTGGCTAGTTTGCTGACCCCCTGTCTTCAGTACTTTCTAAATCACTGACCTAAAACAAATATGCAAATCAGGATAGTGTCATCAGAAGTACTTATCTGCATTCTTGTTCTGGGTCAGTGACTCAAACTATGTTATGTTGTCCATAAAAAAATAAATTTTTGCCCACAGTGCATGTCTTAGTTTTTAAAATCACACTAAAGGATGAAACAGCTTCTGACCCTAGAGCTTACTGAACCTTCCCTGCAGTTCACATGAATATAACATGCAATGTTTGGGGGCATTTAAAGAAAGTTAGAAAAAAAGAACTTTGATCCAAAAAAGATTAGCGTTTAAGGATGCAAATCTTTGGATCTATAATTATAGACTATTAACAAATGTCTCTTTTTTGAAGCTTTATGTTTCTGAAGCTGAAATGGGTGCTAATGAGTTAATCTCCTCAACAAACCAGAACAACTTGTTGTGTGTGGCCTCCACTATCAATGACACCCATGACATGCTGAAGAGTAGCCATGTTCCAGAAGATTACTGGGAGTCAGTGTTGTCTGTGACCACCCCTTAACACTACTGGGAGTCAGTGAAGTTTACGAGCCTCCACCATTGACACCTACATTCTATTGAAGAGGTCATATTTCTCTACATGTTTTTCTCACTGTTAGAAGCATTGAGACAGTGGTTGGAAAGAGTTTACCGAGACTGCATTTAGGTTATCTCATGCAACTACTTTAAATGTAAAGTTCTTCTAAAACAAGCAAGTAATGTTTACTGCGACTGAGCTCAAAGTAGACAATAATCACCTTTGATGTGGCCTGCAGGGAATGTTTGGTAAGCATGGCCAAACACATGCTGACATTTCAGGAACTAGTGTGCATGTATCTTACAACTGGCCTGTCAAATCCAGTCTTTGATTTGTCAGATCGACAACATTAACCAATAACCATGTAGTGTTAAGAACAGCTAAAAATCAGCTGTACTGGGTTAGCGCTTGAGGGCAACAGCAAGTTCTTCCTTCCTTCTAACCCGTTGAAAAATGGCCATGCATGGTAGCCAATCCTTCTCTGTTCTCAATGACAAACGGTGTCAGGTTCCAGCACTGCACATGACAGGCAGAAGCCTGGGGGATTTCTATAGCCAGTTATCTCCAGCTGCTTTTAGACAGGTTGATTACTCAGGAAAGCCTTGCTTCTTGGTTACCTAAAGAGGCACAATGGGTAAACGAGTCACATCACTCTCCTTAGTAATCTGTCAATGTCTGTGCTGCAGGGATGTGATAAAATTAGAGTACATACCTTCTGACCTGTGGAATAACACTAGATCATGGGAAGATATGTGAAAATGGATAGAAAAACCTAACAGTGAACCTTTAAATAAAAACAGGAGTTTCTTCCCTAAGCCCTCGACAGCAAATTAAGTAAATGTACCTTTGTTACAAAACATAGGCTTTACTCTGCCTTGCATACCTGGCTCTGGCACACTGTCAGCTACCTTCTAATGCATCTAGTTACATCTAATGCACCAAGCTGCTTATCAGCCAAAATCATGTGCAATGAGCAGGAGCTGATCCAAAGATGATGTTTGGCATCATTCTTGATAATCTGTCCTGAAACACAGCAGGAGTCTAAAAGGGAACGGGGAGCGGTGGACATCATAAACATTGTGATGGCCCTTGGCAGTAAAAGTTGATGTTCTTCTCTGCGAAGGTACGTGTTTTTATTTAAAGGTACACTTATACACTTATCGTTTATGTACACTATATATAGACTCATATCCATCATATTTTAGTGTTTCTTGGCCAGCCCAAGTCTAATGCATATTTGATTATCTAAGGAACCTTATCCTACTGATTAGTTCAGTTACTATTAATGGATGGAGCAATTTGCCTGTGAACCAACAGATATAGATAGATAGATAGATAGATAGATAGATAGATAGATAGATAGATAGATAGATAGATAGATAGATAGATACTGTAGATCATTTAATAACATATATAACTAATACAAAGCAAGATGTCCTTAAAATTCAGATTTTCTTTTGCATAAAGACAGTCCCAGATTCATGATTAAGGTTCTCAGGTGTCTTTGTGTTTGTGTGTTAGTATATTCTAAGTGTGTTTCTGTGAGTGGTAGTTTTGTACACCTCCTTCTGTCATGAGTGGCTATATCATGTTTCAGAGGTCCCAGGTTACTGTGTGCTCTCCTGACAGTATCTCTTCTACCTGGTTTTAGTGAACATATCAGAGAGGACTAGGGTTCTCCAGTTGTTGATGAATGACAAGGTTAGACATGGGTCAAAGTTCAGCAACAGCTGCAGAGCCGCAGGTTAGCTAAAGGTGGCCATACACAATGGTATATATTTGTTAAATATGATAGATTTTCAAAATTTTCCAAGCGCTGTATCTTAATTATTACAATTATGGTAGCATATCCAATAGCCCTGAGTACTATGTGCACCTTCATCAGTACACACTGCACACACTAAGTGCAGTGATACAGAACTTTATGGCAAGAGGGAGTCAAAAGTCAAAAGGCTCAATTAGATTTTTCAATTGATGCTGTCCATTGGAAAGTGCTGCATGAATCACTGTTAATTAGCTTTAAGGAAGAGGAAGCCCTCACAGTTGTACAAGGAATGAACAAGGACAGACAGGAAAGGATAAGCTCAGGACATCAAAGTCAGATAACAACTCAATTCATCAGGCTAAAATGAATCAGCCAATAACGCACTGTATTTCAGTGGGAAAAGAGACAAGAGTCTTAAGCACTGTGCTTGGCACTGAAGTTAACAGTAGAGCAACTGTCCTATCACCTTAATCAAGGATATATATAAATTATGCAGATTAAAAGGCTAGCTGGTTAGCAGTTTTGAATTAACTGCTTAGCCTATCAAAGAATCCTCTGATGGGTCTTCATCCTATGTCCAACTCTTCAACATGTCTGATACATGTGAAGCATAGAAAAATAAGTATTGTTGCCTTCTAATGGTAACAGATTTTTTTTTCCTAAAGCACAATGTTGTTGTAAGGTGATATGTACATTTTTTTTAACCTGCATTTGAACCTCATAACTTGGCTTACAGGTGGGACATGCATGCTTAAGTCCAATAGTGCTGATTGGAAACAGGTGAGGTCTTAGGTGCAAATTCCCATCTCAAATGTTCCACGTCAGCCTATGTAAATGATATGTGTCCCTGATTAAAGGAATGAGACTGACACTATAAGTCACCCAACTGCGGGTGCATGTACTATATGTACCTAAACAAGTTGTACAGTACATGTTGGGTGAGAGGAAGAAAGATCTTTTTGGTCAGATATTTTCCAAAGAGCCCTCTGTGTATGGCCAGCCTAAACCAGAAAAAAAGGGGTGATGGTGATAGAGGTTTCCTTTCCTTGTATCCATCTCATGCTAACCAGGTGCTGCCTTCCTGCTAGTCCAGAGCTGATCTAACACACTGCCTTTTATTTCTCTCTCCCATCTTCACTCTTATTATCTTTCTCATTTGCCCTACACTCCTCTGTGGCTTCTTCCTTCTGTCTCTATATTCCTCTTATCTGCTCCTTCCTGTCTTCCCCTTGCCAACCCAACCTCCTTCATCCCCCATGTACTCTAATTATATATAATGGGTTTTATATTGATGTGTAAATTTGTCTTCTTTTATGCATGCATTAAACTATATGTGCTCTTTTGCATGAAATCACACACAATATATGATCTGTGCCTTTTTTCACCCTTTTAATTTGTTATATTTAAATATATATATTTATCCATAAATCTATCTACATCTGTAAATGTATTTTGGACCTGGCTATCTGTATTTTTTTATCTTGCTGTTAAAATATACCTGATCCTCTTTGTCTTATTCCTGTCCTCCTAATGAATTGCCACTACTCTGCATGCTCCTGTGCTTGTTGTGATGTGCTCTTGCAGAATTGAGATTTCCTGCAGAAATCTGCCTCTGATTTGTTCCACGTGTGGAGTGCTGCCCAGTGCAAAGCTATCTGCAGCTACTGCCAGCAATGCTGTGTTAGTGTCATGCTCTGCCTCTGCCCCACTCTAACTGCACACATTACAGTAGAACTCACATTACAGTAGTAACACTCATTCACTTATTACTTTGCAGAGGATCCTATTTAGTTTTCATGTCTCCACTATTAGCCAGTCAGACAATGTACAGTTAGAGGAATATATAGGGATACTTTCCTATATTCTGTACACATTTCCACTGAAGTGTAATTCCATCTTTGTGAAAAATCTAATAATGTAAAGAAATGCCAGCCAAAAGGTGTTCTCTAATCTTGGATAAAGTGGGAAAGGGTTAGAAAATCTGTCACGTTTTTCCTGCTCTTTGTGTCCTCATTGAAGAAATTTCTTATAACTTCTTGTCTCAGAAACACAAGTGATAGAAAATTTCCCAAAACGTATAACAGTTTTATTCTGCCCCTTTTCCCATGACAACTCAGTTATGTTAGATTTCCCCTTACTTTTCAAAAGTCACCAGAACAAGAAGTTCTATGTGTATGTCCCCACCAGTCACATACATTGGCAGAGGTTCTGCCCCTTCCCCATTCTACCTAAAAATAGTGAAAAAAAGGTTTACCTACTTGAAACCCCTTCTTCTCTCCTAAGGGCTAAATCCAAAGTCAACACATAACAGACAAGCTGTGATGATTTCTGTTAGAACACAATGGATATTTCAAGAACCTGAATATACAAAAAGAGAATAAATAAGAAATACTCTTTTCAAACCTGATCACTATTGCCTTAACCCGAATTTGTCACAAAGGAGAATTATGGATTTATTTGACAGGCAAGGGAGGTTGTGCAAGAGGTCACTGTGTGTTAGTTGTCACCTGCACAGTGTGGTGTCTTCTTTGTACAAGTCCTGAGTAGTGTGCCTGTCATCGGTCTCTTCTCATGTCTCCTAAGCCACATTTACTCTCTAATTGGAAGAGCTCCGTTATAGATCCTTATTTAGTCTTTTCATCTGCATGGCACCCATGGAGGCATCTAATGCTTCTGTCACTTTCCTGAGGCTAGGAGAAGTAACCCATACAAGCATTACCCAGAACACCTAGCTGAAGTCAAGGGAAACTGCCACAAGCAGAAATTTGTCAGCACTGCGACTGCACACACCTAACCTGGGATTCTTGATCTTTTATCTCTCCTCACCCACACCTCTGGCATTCCCGTTCATGTCGCTGTGCATTTTATTGTGTTGCCTACCACTCGCTTGCTTTTCATGGCTCTCCATCTCTGTTAACCTTTCTCTCCTTTCTAATTACTCTTCCTGTTTGAACTGCATTTCAAAATTCTTTTACTTTAACATTTTGTGTTTTCTTCAATTTATTTTTCCCTTTCACATTTTTTTCCTTTTTCTGACATCTTCATTTATTTTATTCCATATCTTTTTTTTCTTTCCTTTTTATTGATTTGCATATGTTATTTTTATTCCCTCTTCCATGTCTTTCCTTCCCGTTATCATTCTTTTTTTCTCTTCTCCCCTCTTTCTGTCTCTCAATATCCCTCCTATATGCACCGTGTCTCCACTCCCTTATCACAGGGCGTCTCTCTGGAGCTCCTGCGTGGTCCTACCTCTCCTTGCCCTTACGTGGATGTCTGCAGTTTTAGCTATGACCGACCGTCGATCCATTCTCTTCCAAGTCCTGTTTGCCGTGTTCAATTCTGTACAAGGATGCGTTATCATCACTGTTCACTGCTTCCTGCGCCGGGAGGTAAAAATCTTTCTTAAATACTTATGGTCCGTGTTTCCTCTATGTACGTGGCACCGCAAGAGGTTAGCTGTTTACATATCTATAGGTACTCAGAGACCTGTTTTTTTTAGTTAGATTTTGGCAAGAATCTTATTTTTAAGCATGCAAGAAAGCGGAATTTGTTTGTGGAGAAATAACATTCAGACAAATAGAAAACCTTGTCCAATCATTATTGTTTCCCCCAAGGTAAGATGGGAGAGAACTTTCCCTGCCTCTTTGCATATACATTAACATGAATGGTTAGCACTTTGCAAGCCTAGCACGTCCTGTTTGTATCTATGTATATGTATATGCATGCATATATACATATATATATATATATATATATATCACATTTTTGTTGCCTGATGGCAGATGCACATCTGACTAACCTTTAGTATTTATGGGCAAATAAAGGAAACCTGTGCCCAGACTATGTACAATCAAGATCAAAACTTGAGAAACAAGCAGTAAAAGCACTTCAGACCAAGCCCTTGCTCACCTCTGTAGCTATAGGCATTGTGGCAAAATTCATCTTCAAAGTTCACAACAGAGGCACTAGAATCAAGCTCCTCTCCCCATATGTTCTATTGCAAACACTTGGCAGCATGCCACTCATCTAATGTAAACATTCATCAGCTGCTTCTAAGCTGTTAGAAAGGATTAAACTAGACTTCAGAGTCTCTGTTATGATCTTCAAGAATAAATTACTGCACAGTACAAGCAGCTAGAGAGGTCAGTGTTAGTTTGTTTTCAAAGCTCTTTGACCACTTCCGGTTAACTTTAAGTGATGTCAGTTGGCATATGTCACTTATAACTTTATATGATTATTTTTGCTTTATAAATAAGTGGGATAAATGGTATTCATATTTATTTTTTGTCATCACAAACCCCATTAGCCACAAAAGACAACCTGTGTTCATGAAAATAGTACTTAAAACTGGACCAATCTTTAAGTCTTATTGCATTGGCAGATTATACTATGCATTCTGCCATCAGTGACACTTACGCTCCCTTTCTCCCTGCACTTACACTGTATACCTCTAGTAGACAAGAATAATATAGATAAGGACAAATATAGGGCAATATTTTAAACTATGTTTTGAGAACATTATTTCTGTATGTTGCTCTGGATCTTCCTAATCTTACTGCCAAAATTCTGTAATGTTATATTATTTATGCTAGTGTGATAAAAGTACAGGAGAAGGCAGGAAATTATTTGCCCATAAATGAAGTGTGACCACATAAAAATAGGGTGGCTCCATTAACATTTCATAAATACCTTGTGACTGCCAGGAAAGGTTGCACCGGACACCATGGCTGTGATTAAGGATCATCACTCTAAATGAACTGGCTTGTTAAAAGACTTTAAATCCCTCTTTCTTTTGTGCTCCATCACCCAACAGATTGGTTGAGTGTATGAATGCATTTAGTCACGCAAACTGGAACACCTACAGATTACTCCCTTGAGCCCAGATCATCTGAAATTCAGGAATCTACATTCATCTAGTATCTACTAATTTACTTTGTCTTTGTGTGGACAGATTCAAGAAGTGGTAAAGTGCCAAATGGGTGGGTGCCGCAGTGATGAAAACGAGGATTCTCCAAACTCCTGTAAGAATGGGCAGCTTCAGATAATGGTAGGTAGTCCATTAGCACAAGAGTGAAAGACATTTGCTAGTATATAGCCAATAATCGAGAAGAAATTCAACAAATTGATATGGGATATTAAAACCTCTTATATGTACAGTATATCAGCATTATTTAAGCATTTGGAAAACTACATAAATACACAAAGCAATGGACAGGGTGCATTTAAAAAGGTGATGCAATTGCAGATTAAATCCTAGTATCTAAATAATGTATTGAAGGTGGTACTTTATTCCATATAGCACCTCAAAACTCACACTTACTAGACTGACAAACAGTAATGAACACAGACAGTGACAAACAGTTACAGACTGACAAACAAGGATAAACATGGACAGTGATGAATGGACACAAGCTGACAAATATTGTTAGCCACGGACAAGGATGGAGAAACACAGACTGATAGAGACTGGTTTATCTCAGCAAGCTCAGGTTATGTGGCTTTGACAGTAGCACAGGGAGGCATGCCCTCCACATGAAGCTCAATGATCAATCAAAAGAGAGCAGGGTTTTGACTGGACTGGGGAGGAGAATATGAAGAGTGTGGGTGGGGAAAGTTTGCAAGCTACAAAGGTGGCAGGTTGTGCTCAGCATGGATACAAGCCATTTTCGGAGTCAGAGCATGTTTTACACAAATGCAATTTACAGGAAGTGTTTTGGGCAATAAATAAGTGAGTGTATTAAAGAAGAACTCCGACTGATAGGGAGAAGATCGAGAAACCATTGGTGGTATGTTGTCCCTCAGTTCACGATCAATAGAGCTGATGTGTGACATATTCAGTGCTACATGTCGGCTCTTCTTATGGGGATGATTGTAATTCACTCACCCCATAGTTCTCCTTTTGGCTTATCATTTCATGTCTGTAATTGGTGAATGTAACTGCTTTCTTCAGAAGGACAATAATCCCTTGAAACATATCAGTTGTCTACCGTATCAAAAAATATTGATATGAAGGCTATAGACTGCACATAGAAGCATGAGTTTCATGTTCATACTTTTGTCCTTCTATGTAACTATGTAGCCTTTGAGAATAATATAATGTATGGGGTTAGAATTAAAGCTAAACTTCAGACAGATATTAAATACACAAATTAATACAACTCTGTATTCATTAATACAATATACATTTTTTTTTTATGCAAACAATAATAAGTACCTTAATTAGACCTGTTATTGGCCTCTTACAGCCCATGCAGCAGAGCTCGACTGTAAGCAACACAAGGATCCAATCAGTTCATGACAAGAAGCTGACTAGAAGAGAAAGCAGAGTGACAGAGAGATGATCTCATGTCTGTACTGCTTTTCTTTTTACTGTTCAGTCACAGGCAGGGCAGGTCCAGGTGGCATGGGCTTAGGGGAAATGAGTTGAATGATGTTGGCTTTCATTAACTCAGGGAAAATGAGCACATCTAGTGGTGGAAAAGAAGTACTGCAAGGGACAGCTCTGCATGTGAGTATTGCAGCAAAATCTCTTTTAGTTGAGGTTAGTGTTAGGAAATGCCCTTATACTTTATACTTATAATATGCTGAAAATGAAGGCATCTCAAAACGAGTTTGCATGTCTCTAAACACAAGGAAATTGTGTCAAATATTCTCTATGTCTCAGAATGAATTTTATCAAAGAATTGCTCCCAGGGTTATTCAATTTAGTTGTTTAGTGAAGCTTTTCATAGATGGGATTACAACTTCATTATCCCTGTTTAAAGAATAAGTAGGCCTTTTCATCCATATCCCCTTCTACTCTTCTTAATTCTGACATGTTCTGCTTTTCTATTCCAATGCCCTATAACCTTCTCATAGCCTGTTCCTCTCATCTGTTGTATTTTTTCTTTAGTTTCCTTTTCATTTTTTTTTCATAATGTGTATTTAAATAGATAATGACAGACCATTTGAGTCATAGATTTATAGAACATATAAAAGATGTAAAATGTCCACTTGTGACCATGCAAAATTAAAGTGAATCGTGCACCCAATGCAAGGGCGAAGATAATTAACAAGTGATTGGACAATTCTTTTGTGTTCCTGGTGTTTCCACCTTCCGCTCTCAAAAGATTAACTCTCACCTCTCAATGCGACCTTATATTATAATGGTCTAGTAATGCCACTTCCCTTTTTTACATTCCAGGCGGGCTAAACATCAGGTGTCTGCCCTGATGTTGACCATGTCTGCCCTGATGAAGGAACCCTGCGTTGTTCCGAAACGTTGGCTGTTCAACATAAGTGACATGTTTCTTCAATAAAAAGAAAATTTGGATTTATTTCATCCCATGAGTGCTGGTGATCCTCATTGCTGTTTACCCAGTGTTCTGTACAGATCTTTAATGAGGAAGTTTAAGGGCCTCATATGTGCATTCCGATGGCCCCTTTAAAAAGCTTGCATGTACATTCCTATGGGTTCTGCGATTTTTGTTGCTTCAACTAAGCAATCATATTATCAAAAGTGAAAGGGCAGTTAAAAAAATGTACCAGATTAACTGATTTGAACTTTTCCACTTAATTAATTGCTTATCCGACCTTTAGCCAATCTGGTAGAAAATCAGAAAGGGGTAGGGGCTTCATCTCTGCATTCGTTTTAAGTGCCATATTTGCAATTTTTCTGATTTAATTATGCTAATTATTTTCTGTAAATGCTTCAACGCAGATCAAAAGACATCCTGCTAGATGGCCACCATCAAAGCTATGTTAGCTTCAAATATACTTTCAGAGTGCTTCTCTACTGAGGGTCTTGAAAGATGACTCACATACAGAACAGAATCACAAGAGATCTGCAGCATTATTCCAGATATTCTCCATTTCTTCACACAGACTTTAGGTAGATTATGCATTCCTAAATGAACATACCAGCCAGACCCAGTTATCATCCTCCTCAAATATTTTCACACTATGCGTCGTAGTTTAGATTTCTTTCTACACTTTAAACACACATTACACACATACTGGATATACATACAGAGGCACATAGATGGTAACAATGTAAAGCCTAAAGTTTGCATACAAGCTAGGATCATATGTTTCCCTATCCCATAGAGAACCAGGACCTATTTAACTCCTCCAATCCAAAATGAAATCTTTTGCAATACTATAGACATAGGCTGACCATATTTCCTGGTGCCATAAACAGGAAATTAGGATTGCAAAAATAGGAAGGTTTTAATATTCCATATTCATGAAAAAGTAAGATGATAGCATAAGTTTTATGACACTATAGTAGATGTGAACAGTGTAAAGTTTTGGACAAAATTAATTATTATGCTGTTTCGGATTCGGAGGCAACAAGCCATGTTTCAAGTGCACCATACATGTCCCCAGCGCACCATACATGTCCCCAGAGAACAATGGATGTCCCCAAAGCACCATACATGTCCCCAGAGCACAATACATATCCCTGGATCACCATACATGTTCTCGGATCACCATACATGTCCCCGGATCACCACACATGTTCCCAGAGAACCATATATGTCCCCAGAGCACCATACATGTCCCCAGAGCACCATACATCTCACCAGGCTGCGATCTCACCCAGACAGCATGTGGATCTCTGCAAGGCTTTGCGGGCAGTGGCTTTGCTGTGGAGAGTTAACCAGGTGGGTGCCATCTCCGGGGCTGTACTGTGCTGAGTGTGGGGCTGTCCATGGTAGGAGATATAGAACCTGACAGGCACTGCCAAGGACAGCTACTGCCAGGTCCCCCGCAGGCTGCTGAGGTCCCCACAAGTGTGGGAAGCGTGGGGGTTCAAGATTTGTGGTTCCAATTAACTTATGTGCAGATTCACCCCAGATAATTTCTAAAATCATAATGCATTGCATGGCCCTTGAGCTAATGGCAGCAAGCTTAGTAGGGGCAATAAGGGGGCTTTTTTCGTTAAGCCAGTGCCCCACTTTAATTTTGTCAGTGAACTGTTGTAGGGAAAGCTGACAAACTGCATAGGGAGAGATTAGAGTTAGTTAGCAAACTGTACTTTAATACTTATTGCTAGATTTTATTGCCAGTCATCCCTGTTGCTGCCTTTTTTTTTCTACTGTTGGGGGCTGCTGCATGGGTGCATTTTGAAGTTTTCATTTATTTTGTGAGTATATTGATTTTTTTATTTTATGTTGATACTGGGCCTTTTTAGGTTAGCTGATTTTTTATGTAAGGTCTTTCTTTAAATAGTGGCTTTTGTTGTAAGACACATCCAGTGCATGCACTGTACCTAGCTGACATTAACAGGTATTCTGATGCGGCCGAAAATTCAGTGCATCCCCAGCTTCTCTCTCCCCCTGTGTTGGCAGAGGCAGCAGGGATCCGAAAGGACACAGGCCGGCGCCCAGTGGGGAAGAGAGGAGCTTTGAGGAGGCCGGGTGGGGCGATGCCGAAAGAGGCAGCTCAGGATGAGGAGCGTTGTGGTGGAGAAAGGAGAGAGCTGTCGCAGGAGCCGAGCTCTCCTTTCACACCACCCCTCTCAGACTCCTGTGACAGACGGAGCAATCAGGATGGAGAGTGGAGTACAAGCGCTGAACTGATCGCTGAGTGTTTGCAAATAACTGAGGACATAATATGCTTACTGTGTCCCCAATTATGAATGAACAGGAAGTGCTGTACTATATGCACAGTTTATGAATGGACAGGAACACTCAGTCAAGAGGCTTCCTGTTCATTCATAACAGAGACTGCAGAAAAAGAGATCTAAGATTCTATGTCCTCATTCTCTTTTTCTCTTTTAAAAGGAAAATATCAGGGGTCTGTTTACACCCCTGATATTTCCCCATAGCCCTGTCAGTAAAGTTAAAAAAATAAATACAAATAAACCAAAATAAAATAATAAACAAATAATTAAAGAAATGTTTTAAAACGGTCTAAAAATTCCATTTTGGTGCATCCCTATATTCCAACACTAGAAATACTGTAACTTTCCTTGCTTTTTTGTCCAAGACAATGCTCTTTTGTCCTGCTGCATTTTCCTGTATTATCACCACTGTCAATATGCTGCTGCATTGCAATTACTTTCATTATGTCCGTTTTAGGAGGAGATAGTTTTTTAAACCATAATGTGTTAGGATGGTTTTACAAAAAACAGGCTTGTTGATCATACTAACGACTATGTCAATGTGTCTAAATGTACTCTTATGTCCCTGCAGACAGATTTTGAAAAAGATGTTGACTTAGCGTGTCAGTCTGATGAGAAGGCCTCCTGGTACACAGCACATGGGGAAACTGGTGAGCTAAATGACTACAAGTAGTTCTAGTGTTTAATATGAACCATGTTTCCAGACAAAAGCAATCAGATGATTCATTCAGTTGCAACCAATAACATTCTATATTTTGTTACTTCTTAGTAAAACAAATTATCCAAAATGGCATCATTAAAGGAGCTCTAAACACTGGCGGAACTACCAGGGTCGCAGCGGTCGCATTTGCGACCGGGCCCTGGCGTTCGGCCATTTGGGGGGGGCCCAGCGAGGAAGAAGAGGGCCCCCCCTCCAGAGAGTTGCCGCTACATCCCTGCACAGCCACCCGTAGCATGTACGGGCAGCTGTGCGGCAGGGATGCATTGCCGTCCGCACGCACTCAGACCGGCACAGTTCCTTGCGGCCTCGGCTGCAAGATACTGTGCCCGTCTGAGCTGCTTCTCTCCTATCTGCCACTTAGCTCCAGGGTCTGAGAGAGAGCAGAGTGATCTCTCTGAGACTTCAGAGCGATGAGTCATTCGGAGGCGTGGTGTGCTGAGTGTAGGAGTCCCGGCCGGGCTGAGCAGGCTGCAGGTAAGATAGTGTGCAGACAGTGTTCTTTCTCCCCCTCCCTTTCCTCCCCCCCCTCTCCTCTGTCTCCCTGCTTGTATTGTCATCTAAATCAAACTATTGCTCAGTCTTATAGAATCACTAGTAATTCTTTTGATTGTATAAGACTGAGCAATTACAGGGACCCTCTGCACCCCTCCTGACACCCTCTGCCCCTCCCGACACCCTCTGCGCCCCTCCTGAGACCTTCCGCACCCCTCCTGTGACATTCCGCACCCCTCATGACACCCTCTGTACCCCTCCCGAGACCCTCTGCACCCCTCCCGAGACCTTCCGCACCCCTCTTCGGGCATACCGCACCCCTCCGCCTCCCTCCTGAGACCCTCCGCACCCCTTCCGAGACCTTCCACACCCCTCCTCGGACATACCGCACCCCTCCTGAGACCCTCTGCACCCCTCCCGAGACCTTCCGCACCCCTCTTCGGGCATACCGCACCCCTCCGCCTCCCTCCTGAGACCCTCCGCACCCCTTCCGAGACCTTCCACACCCCTCCTGACACCCTCCGCACCCCTCCTGACAACCTCTGTACCCCTCCTGATAACCTCTGTACCCCTCCTGACAACCTCTTGTTTCTATAAAGATTTCTGTAGACCATAGAGCCAAGATTTTTTGAACTTAATGTATTGTCCTGGTGCTTGCTTGGGTTTCTTCCGGGTACTTTGGTTTCCTCCCACACTCCAAAGACATGCTGGAAGGTTAATTGGTTCCTCTCTAAAGCTGGCCACACATCTGTCAACTTCTTTTGTTCAACCCGCGGGCTGAAGGAAGAAATTGAGGCGATTCCTCCATCAACACAAACAGCGTGTCAATCGAGAAATCGCTGCTGTCTGCATTTTATTTTCAGAATACCCGATCAGAGCGGGCAGCTCATTGACTGTCGGCTCTGTTCGCATGTAGATTTTTCAGCCGGCTCCTTCAATCAGCTGATCGAGGAATGCTGGCTGAAAGGGAGCCGACAGCCCCACACACCGTGCAAATGTATGGCCGTTAAAATCTGGCTGAAATGTGTGTATGTATAGGGACCTTGGATTGTAAACCTCTGCATACATTGTTGACGCTATATAAATACTAATAATAAATAAATAAATACATGAATAAATAATTCTCCCTTGAGAAGAGCTGAGGAATATGATTACTTTAATTAATTCCATATATGGTCCATGTAAAAAACTTTGTGCAAAGTAGTTTATTTTCAGGCCCCTGATAAAGATAAGAGCATGCTCTTTGCACCTGAAAAAATAAGTCTAAACTCCTAATACAGAAAATGTTCTTATCAGTAAGAGCTGCAAAAATATGGAATAGTTTTCCACAAGAGCATGTTCTAGCCAACTTAATAGATTCCTTCAAAAAAAGGACTGGATGTGTTTCAAAAGCACAGAATATGCCTGGCTGCTTTTGGGAATGAGGGACACTGATACCATGCTGTATCAGGTCTTTTTTGTCTTCCTTGGGATCAGCACTGGGGTTTAAGGTTTTAAGGATGTATTATTTTTTTCTCTTTTGGTTGATTTCAGTGGACATATGTCTTTTTTCAGCCTAACTAACTATGTTACTAATTTAAAAGTTTTGTGTTAACTTCTGAGTGCTGTAAAAGTGCTGCATGTCATCACATTGCATTTAATGTTTTTCATTTATTTCCAATGTTTTGTCAGTTTTATTTAAGGAACTGAATACATGCCATCCTTCCAGTGTGACTGGAGCTCTATCCCGGATCTCTTTAGATGATGAAGATGATCTAAAACGACATAAAGGAAGCGAAGGCCTCAGCTTTTCCCACCTTCCTGGACATCTTTCTTCTCAAGGAGGAATTATGCTGCAGGTGCCCAAAATAACTCATAATCCAGTAAATGAGCTCAATGATCCACTGCCAAAGAAAGAAATCAATGTGGAGCGCGGGCCTTTCTATCTGTGGCCTG